TGGTTGACGTGCAGTGTAATCCAATCGTGGCAGCACTCTCGCCAGGTTGATATGGGACAGCATGATACTTCTGCGACAGACCCGAGATCTGAAGCAATGCTGGAGCCACCGCGAGTCTAGGCAAGACGAGGTCCAACGTCTCTAATTTTCTTGGCTTCGAGACGATGCAGCAAACGCTGCTGTCGCGCATTAGGTCAATCCGGGTCCTCAAGACTTTTAAGAGCTGTTAGACCGTAGATCCTCAGACGTGGTGAAACTCTCTACGAACTTTTCGACCTCCAAACTAGATTGTCGGGCCACGCTTGTGGTGGCACGATCGCTTGTAGAATAAAGAGATCGCGCAGGATCACAACCGAACGGCTCCAAAATACAGCGGGCATCTAACCACAGTTCAGTCGGCGTCTCTAACGGGTCTCACTCAGTCATCTTCATCTGGTCTCATCGGGGCGTCCACATCCCGAACGAACGCACCTGAGTCTTGAGCCAAGGGCCATTCATCTTCTTGCTCCTTTTCCGCTCCTTGATCTTGCTCTTAACACTAGGTCGCAATACATCAACGGCTCAAGAGGCGAATCTCCAAGCTGAATGTGCCATGGGCAAGGGCCATACAAGGGAATGATGCAGGCCGAGTCATATTCAAGGCTACACTTGCCAGTTTCGCCGAGTATGATCCCATCGTGACGAAGTTAAATGATATCTGGATGGTATAACCAAGTGGCGCCACAGCACACACCGCCAAACCGATGTGGCGCAGATAAACCGTGAGTGCATATGATCCAGAGTCGCTCGTAACTTCGCCGCTAAGCTGTAACAATATCCCATGGGCAAACGGTTTGCCACTACCCGTCAGTCGATTGCTGATTTCAAGGTGCCAAGTTAACCAACGAGCCAGTGTCGCGTGCTACGGGATGATCTCGGCACACTGGGGCAGATTGTGATGAGCTTCGCCGACAGCGTGTTTCCGCGTTGCCACGAAGCTTTGTCTGCTCGCGGCCCTGGTGTCGACAGTTACTAGCGTGAATAACGTTGGTAAAACCGCAGGAGATCCCGCCCGTTCTTCGGCTGGATTGTGGACACAGCCAAGTCGCTTTTTCGCCACTACTGTCGTGTGATCGTCGCCGGTAAATGCAAGCCGTACTTCGGTGTACTAAAACCGTCATCACCGCAATTGGAATAGTCGGGTCATCCATTTTCTCGATCATTGAATATGATTTCACGCCCGTTGAGGTTTGTCGATGGGGATATACCTTCTATCGCTTTTAATGTGTGGGGAGAACAACAAGAAGGTGTAATCCACTAAGCCAACCGATCCCGTCAATCCTTCGCCACTCACACTTCGTTCGGAACACCCCCAGTCTTTACGCCAATCCTCCCCCATCCTGTGGGCAGGCTCTCCTCCCAGTTATTTATTCAGTTTCAGGCAGCTAACATCTTCCTGACCCTCTTGTCGTGAAACCTGCCAACTCCATCGACTTTTTATTGGCGTGCGAGGGCTCTTCTGAAGCGTAAAACAATGGAACAAATACTGAATATGTACATCAAAATCGAGGAGAAACTCAAAGTTTAGCACATAGTAACTGTTTGACATTCAGTTGCGTTTGGTTAATATTTGTTTATCTGATGTGGGGATGAATGTGGCTAAGTTGCACTTACTTGGGTGCATGTTTGCGCTGTTCAGTACTACTAGAGAGGTTTCACAACTGACGTCACCTTCTCATTTCTCTTACGATAGGATCAAAGGGACACAAACAAGTCAAACATTGGTGATGTGAAAATTTCCTTCACACAATTCGTAAATATGAGATACAGTATCTCCACTCCCTTGTGTGGACCGCATCGTATTTCTTGTTGTTGCAACCATTCATTTCCCGAGATGGCTGAATGGTTGGCGCACTAAGGACGAGGACCTAGTCAGGGTCTGGGGAACATCCTTTCCTCTAACCCCGCGGCGACATCACTTCCATTTAACTACTTCGCGGACTAAACTCATTCTTGAGTTAAAACTTGCTCACACGTAGAAAGGCCAGCCGTTTTGAAGCCGGAAACAATGAATTTGCGCACGTCGTGTGGAGGGTTCACAAAGATCGTGTAGCCGTCAAAGATTGACCGCTGCTCTTTCATGTAGCCAA